AGTTTAGAATCTTAGCGTCGGCTGCTAGACTTTTTAAAAATTAAAACTTAATTTCTAAAAAACTGGGACCCTAAACTAAAATTATGGCTTTGACATTCCCTAGTTATCAAAATTATCTTTCTTTCAACACAAAAATCATGAAAATCCGTCGAGTGGTTGATTCAGAATCGTGAAATAAAAAAACACTGTTTCGTTTTAATATTATAGATAAGTTAGCTGATAAGCACCGATTTCTATGACTGTGAAATTTTGCTATGCCAGCTTATTTTTTCCTAAAACTAAGTAGGCCTATTCCTACGATCTTATAATACATGAAAACAACCTTAACATTTTTCCAAGGCACAGAATACTTTCATTTTAAGGTACCGGTATTTTAAAGATGGACAGCTTCTCTGGTGGAGTAATACCAGACGGGGGCACGACCACTGGCAACGATTACATTTCAAATGGTCAGTCAGTCACTGTCAAACAACCTAGGCCTTAGTTTTTCTGTAACCCCCTGAAATGTCACTGTACAGCGCTTTGCAGAGTTAGGTTAGGTTTATTATGATCATTATGTTATTATGATAAAACCTTAACTTAATATGTAATTAAGATGTAAAAGCATAACTTATCTTACCTCAACAATACCAGGCTATCCATAGAAAAGTTGTCCACGGCGGTGTTTTTTTTTTTCTGAACTGCTGTACATAATCGGTGAGTACAGCGTCATCTTTAAGGAGCTTGACAAGTGCTCCAAGTCTTATATAACTTGAACTTCATCGTCGTGTCATCAGATAAATGTTTACTGCAAAGAATCAATACTAAACAGTTTCTTTCAGATTTTTTTCTTTTGACAGCCTTTTCCCAGGATTTCAACAGCTTTGGGCGAGTTAATAGAAATCTGAAATAGTTAAAAAATAGTTAAACTTAATTCACAGTAACCTTTAGGCCTAGTTTCCATAAATCCACATACATTGTAGTTCAACACCTATACCTGGAAATGTAAATAATAGCATAATAGCTATGAAGGGCCTATGATTGATAAATAGAGCTGACGCTACTACTTGTCAGTATAGGTGCGAGTATAGGCTACTGTAGTAGCATGCTAGTAGGTATGATCACCAAAATAAAAATACAAGAATTTATTTTATTCAGTTAATTAATAGTTCAAATTAAAATGCACTTCTGATTTTAAACAGTAAGAAGTTATCTGAAGCCCTAATCAGTCTAGGCATAAAGCTGGGTTTTCCTAGGCGCGGAAGCGGAGAACGGAGAGAGGAACGCGGAGAGCGGAAAAGAGATTAACATGGTGTTCCGTTCTGTTTCTAGGAAAACAGTAACATTAAATTACCTAAGACAAGTGGAGTCCGCTCTCCGCGTTCCTCTCTCCGCTCTCCACTTCCGCGCCTAGGAAAACCCAGCTTAAGTTAGCGACAACATTTCTTGATACAGTAAGTAATTATTTAAAACTTGTAAAAGTGGATCCCATTTCCTTTATTGTAGGCTACGTTTCTTTGCATCCAAATTCAATACAATATCTAACCAAATTTGCTTAATTGACTCACACTCACATAATTACAATAAGATATCTTGTCGTTCATTAAAGGTCAATTGTTTGGAGGACCCATATACAAATCATCTGGTCATCGGCAACGCAGTGGTAATTAAAACCTCACCCAGATAGTCTAAGTTAACCTTAATAGGTTAAGGCATCTTGGTGGGATTATAAGAATGAATGCCAACATTTCTAGTTAAAATTGTGGCTGTATTTTAGTCAATTTTACGTTACAGTAGCCTACAATCCATAAGTAGATTAAAACAAATAAAGCTGTAACATTTGTATACAGAAACAAAATAACTAACTTAACCAGACTTATTGAAATAATTATTTCTAGTAGGTAAGTATTGAATGAATTTGATTAGTAAAGATGCATGCAAAGAGTAAAGTGTTACTGTTTTTTCACCACTCACCAGAAGGCCTGTTAAAAAGATGTGTTCTATGAGTTAATTTGAAGGTAAAATTTGTTAAATTTTTAAATTTTACCTAACCAACACACTTAAAGTTTCAGACTGAAGCAAGCTTTTATTTAGGCCTTATTTTATTTTACATTCCAACACAGGGCATATAAAATAACATGTTAAATGGGTGACACAGTGCTGAGATTTTTTCGGCCAGTAACTATGGGTGGTGCCAGCATATTTTTTTTAATAATTCACATTTGAAATGTATCATGTATCCGAATAAAAAAAAAATATGTAAATATTTTAGAGTAGGCTATGTATTGAGCTATGATTTTGGCCCAAGAGGTTGTGAAGGGAGCCTTGGCCTGTTATGACATTCTAGGATACCAGTACATAACTAAGTGAGATTATATGGACTATTTACAAGCGAATAAGTATAATCGAAAAATTTATTAGAAGATGCGTAGAAATATGTGTTCTTTTCACTTTAATTTAAGTTATGCAAAAATTTCCGGGGGAACCCTCCGACCCCCGGTATCCCATACCACCCGCGGTAAGTCCGGCGCCTCTGTTGCCCAGTGGAAATCCCTTAAAATATGCTCTGTTTCCAAACAGGTACTATATGACTTACCTATCTTAACTTATTGTGTCAGTTTCATTCTTTTATATGACCAGCATACTTTTAATTTTATTTGTATTAACTTAAATAGGCTACATCCTAATATAATTATCAATGGGGGAATTGTATGTAGATAAATCCCCCTCCTCCCCAAACAATAATTGGAACCTAGAATAATAATTCTGGAGTAATAATATTTGGTTTTTCATATTTGAACTTCAGAAACCATAAGTAAAAGGCCTAAATTGGTTTTCTAAAAGACATCATAATTTGCGCAATTGATTTGATATTTTTTTGCTGATTCAGTTAAGCTATTAATAGTTTGACTCTAATAGGGCAAAGCGTTTTCAAACTCACTTAATTATAAAATTGGGAATAACTAAATAAACTAAGTTTATTGAAATTCCTCAACATAGATAAAAACATAACCTGAGTAACCTCAATCAATTATTTCATTTCACCATTTGAGCAGCAGACGACACGACGACAGCCACAGCACTCCAATCCAATCCCAATGTTAGCTTGTGCGAGTGCGATGCGATGCAATGCGATTACAGATACGACTTACAACATGTTCGATATTCTTCGACACACAACCGAATCATGCGGTTGGTCTGTTGTGAACCCAGCACTCACTATCCCGGAGACCCTGAGTGATGGGATGGGAGTGATGGGACCACTGAGCTATAATAATATAACTGGAGTAACCACTCTGTGTTTTAAAAACGTACCACTGTTTTTGCTGGTTTTGTTTCAGAGTTTCGTTTTGTTAGGTTGGCCGGGTGATCGGGTTGGTGGGACTCAGTGTGTCCACAGCTTGTACAATTGTACAAGATCTAGTACATTTTGATATTTTCTTGTACCCTAGTACATTGTTCACTGAATCTTGTACATTTTCCTTCAAAATCTGTTTTTATAAAAATTGAAAAATACACGCAGTTTGGGGGATTTTTAAGTTAATAAATAACAGTTGGCAACTCCGGATTTTCATATCTTGGTTGAATTGTAAAGACCACATGCCATAACTTACTCTATGTAATTTTATAACAATAAATTACCGGCTATAATAAAATACATAGATAAGCAAATGTACTGCCTTAGTGGATTTCTCATTCTTATGGAACAGCTGAAGCCAATTTTATTGTTATTTCTGCCGCGGTGAACTGTAGAGGTGATGTTTTGTTTATAATTTGTTTCTTGTTATTTCAGTTAGTTTCTTTTAAAACTTCGTTCAGCCATTAGCCAAATAAAACGATCTTATCATAAACAATAGCTTGTCCCGTAGTTATGTCAAACAGTATAGCGCAAATAATGAAATCAATCCTAAAATAATAGAAAAAAAATTTCGTCGATACTAGCGGTCAGTGTCACCGGACATGAACTAGATACGAAAAACGAGCCTCAAAATTTACAATGGGATGAGAAGTCTACTTGTGTTATGAAAAAAGTCAGAATTCTGCATTAAAGTTTAGTAGGCATTCACTTCTGAGATTAAAGTCAAATTTAACAAGAGGGCGTTCCTCTTTATCAAATAATTAGAACAATGAGTTTTATGTTATTAAGTGTGAAGGTGAGAGGAGACCTGATTAATTTAATGGTTTTATTTCTATGGGGGAGCGTCAAGGTGCCACCACAAGGATAAAAACGTCAAAGAACTTTGGTTAGTCTCTATGGTATAACACAGAGAGCCATATAAAGTAGTATTACTCTATCTTTTGTAAGATCTTGTACCTACATTAGGAAATCTTGTACATTTTTCAGGGAAATTTAGTACAAAAAAGTGGTACCCCTGTGGACACACTGTGGGACTTGTCAAATTAGAGAATAGAGAGGCAAAATCAAGATGGCGTCATCCTGTTTTGTTGATGATAGTAAACAAAAATCTGCCAACTCAACGTTATGATTGCAATATAAGTTTATTTGTTTATTTTACGAGCAAGAGCAACCCATTTTAACAAGATCATAAACCGATGGTCGTTATTTATTCAAATGCCATAAGGCTATTGGTCTAAACCAATATCTCCAAACCAGGAAACTTGACTAGCCTATTTTCACCACATAGCTTTAAAAGAGGTAAATGAGTTAGTATTTATTTACTATCAAACAAAAACAATTTATAATGTTTAAAAATAACTTTAAATACAGAGGTTTTAACGTGCAATAACTTAAATATGTTTTTGATACAAGTCCCTGAAATAACGGATAACATAACCCCAAATAAATAGTATATGGTTAGGTTAGAATGAATTGGAATATTATTTGACAGCATCCCACCAACCGATCACACGGCCAACCTAACAACACGAAACACCAAAAACAAACCAGCCAAAACAGTGGCACGTTTTTCTCTAACGTTTTACCAGAGAGTAGTGACTCCAGTTATAATCTATATCTCAATGGATGGGACTTGGTTGGACATTCCGATTCCGACATTCCCCCCGCGTGATCTTTCAAAGTGAATAGTTGACTCTTTAGGGGTTATCTTTTTCAATTAAATTTACCATTTACCCGGTTGCTTCCTGTCTAACTGTCTAATTTTGTGTGTTCTGGTAAACAGGTAACATAATTCTAATATGTAATCTCTAATTAATACACCTTTCCCCTTTCAAATTTTCTCTCAATCAAATCTCTTTATTTACTAGGCCTACCTAATTTTCACTCAAAACCAAATCACATCTGAGGTTAAATACTTAGGTATCCATTTAGATAGGAAGTTAATTTGGAAAACACACATTGGGAGAAAATGGCAACAACTAAATTTAAAATCTAATCAGTTAAGTTAAATTGGCCCATCGGAAGAAAATCAAAACTTAGTTTAGAAAATAAATGATTGCTATATAAAATTATATTGATACCAATATGGACATATGGAGTGCAACTATGGGGCTCTGTGAGTACTTCTAATATAGAAATTATTCAAAGAAACCAATCGACAATGACAATGCTGAGGAAAATACAAATGCACCTTGATATGTCACCAATAGAACACTACATCAAGACCTTAAGATGTCTTCAGTTAAGGACGAAATCATGAACTTAAGTGAACGATATATTACAAAATTAGAATCTCATCAAAATCATTTAGCATTGAATTTATTAAACAACACGGATACAATTTACAGACTTATAAGAGGCCATCAATTCTGGACCTGCCCTTCAGATTTTTTAAAAGTGTAATTGATTGAAAAATGTAATTGATGGGTTAGTATTGCGTGCCTAAAGTGCTGAAATATGATTATTGATAAATCGCCAAGTAAATGATGTAAATGCATCAAAAATGTAATTAGAAGATCCCCAGGCCTCCATTTTGATCATTATTGGTGACGTCACTTCCGGTACATCAATTGATGTAGTCCGCCGGTGGGGCCGTTTTGCTGAGTCATTGCGAAGAAGAAGTAGTCCGTTTACTGCCACATTTGTGTCTAACGGCCCACAAACTTGTTTCTTGACACAAAAGTTGGTAATTATTGGAATAATAACCACAGAAAATTATATACAATCCGTTCAAGTGTCATTTAGAACGATCGTCATGCAAAACATTGGTTCACACACAATGTCAAAGAAAGAGTTATTGTTATTTATAAACACTGTTCTTACAGAGAGAAGACAATTATAGGAAAATTTTAAAACTATTCAAAAACTATTTACAACCCGAACCACCCCATTTACTCACACTACACAAAAGTACGAGATTAGCACGGTCCCCTGCCCAAGTGAAAACCCGGGGCTGAAAACGATTCGCGCCAAAACAAACTCGAGAACTGGCACAACAGGCTGACACGCGGCACAACGTTCCCCGTCCATGTCTGAGCTCACACAGAACCAATATAGTTAGAGTAGTGCGACTACATCAATTGATGTAGTCCGGCACGGGTGCTCGTGACGTACTACATCAATTGCTGTAGTCAGCACTGAACGTGTTAACAGCTATTTTTAATGCTCAAAAGTTAATTTGTTGTATTACATGGCATTTACTTACTGTTCAACATATTATAGAACAGATTGTAAAGTAAACAAAAAAAACAAAATTTGTTACAAAACACCATTTTTTCACACACGGCTGTAGGCCTACCTTTTACAGGTGTAGCCATGGCACATAATCACATGGATACAAGTAATCTTCAATTAAATTTAAACAAAAATCAACTTGAAACAGACTCAGCAGTCAGCGTTACCAGTATCTTCCATCTTACCACAAAATTAAAATGTGTCAAATGAACTTAAAAGGCCCCACAGTGATTCAGGTTTATTATCACCCCAAAATATAAACAAATGCAATCAGAAGAAACCTGATAAAGGACCCATGTTTGAGTTCATCATTACGAAAGAGGACAAAACCAAAATCAGCCCTTTCACAATAGGAAAATTAAGTTACAGAAAACAAAGAACAAAATCAGTTCAGTAAGAAGATCAGGTCGTAATGTACCTAACTATTACATGCAAAGACTATAAATCTGCCAATGATCTCTATTGTTTTGTAATATTCTAAAAGGGTGTAATGTATTTATATCTAGACCAAGAATACACTCTGTTGGAGAACAAACTTAACTTACCGTACATAGATCCAGATATCTCTGGTGACAATTTCCTCGCTGATGCAGTTAGCGACTTTCCTTTTGTCGCTGCTGATAGAATCAAAAGAAAGGCAAATGAAGAATTTAAAGATACATACCTTCATGAAAATTACATTTAACTTAACTCAGATTTTCTGCCGAGAGAAGTTAAATTAAATCATGTAGGCCTAATAATGAAGATGGAACCATAGGCCTACATCATTCCAATCAATGCTTCAGATGTTTCAGGTTGAAGAACTTGAACTGAGTGTGTTGAGGTTGAGATTAACAATTTAACACTGTTATCAAATAGGCTACTAAACTTGTATTAATATTTATTTTATTTCCCATTATAGTCCAAGCAAATTAGATCAAATATAGGGTGTGCTCCCCAAAAAATCGTCTAAAGCTGGAAAGTGTTATAATACCTTTTGGGGGTCCCAAATAAGACTCCTGTGAGTTTGTGACGGATTCTGACGTCTGCTTAAGTTTTGGGAGTCGATAAACTATGAAAATTTTGCACTTTTTTCAGTTTTTCGCTTATAACTCCTAAATAACGAATCCTAAGGAAAATGTTTTTCGAAGGTGTCTTTTAGTGCATTAAATTCCGCGTCGATTGATGTTAAATACGTCAAAATCGGCCGAGCCGTTTAGCCGCTGTAGCTTTTCAAAGTTGGGAGATTTTCAATAACATGGCCAAAAGGTTGATCATTTGAACAGTTTTCGGCTTACAACTCTTAAACGACGCATGCTATACAAAAAATGCACCTGTAGTTAGTTTGGAAAACACAAAATTCGGCGTATGATGTTTTTTTTATTAATCAATTACGGCAATTGATTGTTACCTACTTTGTATGGTCGCCATTTCATTGAAAAAAGTATTAAAGTTAAAGTTGGGAAATTTTACTAATATTGGTAACAACATAGATCCTGTCCTTAAATGGATTATGAATTATTAGATAGTGGTTTATTCCATGATGGTCATCCAAAGGTTTATCTAATAAGGTGTGATGAGATTAAGACACCCTATGTAATTTTAAGTCTAATATTATTTTTGTCTGAGGTTCCGAAAATTCTAGGATTCATATCCCAACCACCCATTATATAGATCTATCCCTGTATTCATCTTTCAGTTTTTGGCTTACACATCTTATCTTCTAATGCATGCTTTAAAAAAATGTTCCTGTAGTTAGTTTGAAGAGCATAAACGTCTGCGTAGAATGTTTTCCAATTCATTAAGATCGGCTTCACCATTTAACCGCTATTGATTGTTAACACTAGATCAGATGCTTGTCAAGTTTCCGAAGTTTAAAATCTTACCATTGAAATCTGGCAAACAACCAGCCTAATTACCAAAAACATAGGGGATATGGCAGTGAATCTATCCACTAGTGTGACGTCATGGATCCTGCAGCATGACCTATGAACAAGTAAGTGCTCATGAGAGCAACATCTAAAAATAGTAAATTGTTTTGCAAGTTAAATACCTGACATTCCTTGTACTCGGCTAAAACAAAAGTTGATGGTTTGGCTTGCTGACCTCCCTTTTTACAGTTTGCAGAACATAATTGTTATGGTAAAATTGTTATCTAGTTGTTACTTAGTCCCTAGTCAACTGTTACCTAGTCTTTCAATCACTTTGTATAAGTACCTCACTTTTTGTGTCTATATATAGTTCTGTTTTTTTCAAATGATTTTTAACTATTTATTTTCTTGTTGTCTTTTTTATATTTAGTGAAGATTCCGTGTTATACTATCTAGAATCTATGGCCCTTTTTGACACCTTTGTTTATTAACGAGGTCTATTGTAACATCTGTTATTTAATGACCAATAAAGATTTATGATTTATAATTCATCTTACTGTGGAGAGCTTTTCCGAGATAGTGGAATCAATGATGGGGATCTAGCCCGATGGTTCGCTGGCAGGCCCATCGCAGTGAATGCTACCCATCAAATTAAGGGACATTGTGGGATCACCTCTTCAACATATTATCAGCAAGTTGATAATATAAACTCCACGGATATGGTGGGATCTAAAAGAAATTCATCAAATGGTTTCAGTGTCACGACCCATTTACTGAAAATAGTTCGCTTATGTCAATCAGTTCAGCAGTTATCCCATGTGATAGCATCAACGCCAGATATGTATAAAGCATAATGAATAGGCACAGCTTGCAAGAAAATCGTAAATAGGCAAGACTATAATGACCAAAACTGTGCAGAATAAAAGTAAGTGGTGACCTTAATTGTGAGCTGTGATGGCAACAGCAAATATTAAAGAAGAATATGCCCCCCTCAGTCAGCACATGATATTCCACATTAAATCCAAGCCTCATTTTTTAATCATACTTTGGATTAAAAATACCTAAGGGAGTATGTTTTATCTATGTCCGTACCCACTAGCGCAGATTGCTGAAGAAAGCGTGATGTAGAAGAGTCGAAAATCTAACTATTCATGTAGCCTAAAACTACTCATGCTGTTTACTCCAATCAATGTAGATTTCACTGTGTTCTGACGGGTTACAACGCTTGGCGAAGTTGCAGAAGCAGTTTGGCATTTGGCACATGGTAGGGAGCAGAAAATATCCAAATCAAGTGAGGGTTGGTCTCTTCTAGAAGACACTTTCAACTAATTTTGACTTTGATTCTAACAAAAGGGGCTGCTCATCCACCTATCCTTTAGAGCTCATTTAAAAGTGTACTTAATTCAGAGAGATAGGTATGGAAAATTAACGCCAATGGGTTAACTCCCATCACTACAGCTAATCCACCGTTTCGACAAGAACTTCTCAACTAAAAAGCTATATGGTAAAATCTAAGAAAACTCCCAATCGTTTTTTTTTTAATAGGCTAAATATATAGTAAAACTATGTACATCCGTCCCATTATCATATTTCGTTTATTAAGCTAAAAATAACATTTTTGCTATATTTAATCAAATCTTTCTCGTTGTAATATCTTATTATATTAGAATCGCTTAACACCATTTTGGAGTATCCAGAGATGGGATCGTATAAATGGGAGCTTAGGACGAATCCTAGAATTTTTGTAACACCAGATATTAATATTAGATTTAAAATTACATAGGGGATCTAGTAATTCATAATCATCATTCTACGCCGAATTTTGTGTTTTCCTAACTAACTAACTACAGGTGCATTTTTGTATAGCATGCGTCGTTTAGGAGTTGTAAGCCAAAAACTGGTCAAATAATCAACCTTTTGGCCATGTTATTGAAAATCTCCCAACTTTGAAAAGCTACAGCGGCTAAACGGCTCGGCCGATTTTGACGTATTTAACATCAATCGACGCGGAATTTAATGCACTAAAAGACACCTTCGAACAACAGTTTCCTTAGGATTCGTTATTTAGGAGTTATAAGCGAAAAACTGAAAAAAGTGCAAAATTTTCATAGTTTTTTGACTCCCAAAACTTAAGCAGACGTCAGAATCCGTCGCAAACTCACAGGAGTCTTATTTGGGACCCCCAAAAGGTATTAAAACACTTTCCAGCTTTAGACGATTTTTTGGGGAGCATATGTCTAATTTGCCTGGGCTATTAGGCCTACCACAGTCATCTGTCAGATATTAAATTAAACAAAACAACAGAAACAGTAACTGAGTAACAAAAGGTGAGATAGGCAGGGGCCTAATCAATTGTATTTTAAGTGTAGCGCTACTTTTAGTGATTATTGTAACATGATAGAGGTACTGTATGTAATAGGCCCCTAAATCACTTTAAATGGCATAGATCTACAATTTAACAAAATTTGTGTAAGTTAGAATTTGTATTCACCTTATAACTTAGAAAAATCATTCAAAGGTATAGGGATTTTGCATTAGACATTCCACCCCCATGTTAAAGTTGTCGCCAGGTTTTTAATCAAATTTGTCTTAGTTGATGTGAGCCACCTCCTACAGATAGCTTGCACTGATCTAAATTACTGATTTCTGACAATTACACAATGGTTTTTAACAAATTAAACTGATGGAATGACTTATTATGAGCTATAGCAACTGTTATATATAATATAACTGTTATATATAATATAACTGTTATATATATATATAACTGTAAAATAATTTGTCACACTAACTTTGGACTTGCCATTTTGGAGACTTAGTTTACACACATTTTTTGGGAGCTACTCCCGAACCCTCAGAACCCCTGGTTTGCTGTCCCCCCCCCCCTTGTAACTGTTCTAGATCTGCCACTGCAGAAGTGTCGCTAATAGGATTACGGTATCCACTTTTTTAGACGGGTCAGAAACAGAAAAGTCGAAAAGTTTGTTAAATTGATGTCAACCGTAGGCCTAAACTAGTAAATTAATACATGAGATTATAATGTTATTAATTTTAATATTGAACTGAGGCCTTCACAGAGGCGTCGTAGGATTTTTGTGGGACCAGCTGGTAATGTCCCGTCAGGTCAGTTTGGGCTGCCTCAAGTTAAGGTGGAGGACTTAGTCCTATGGTAATGAAATGGACCTAAGTACAAATGTTGTTCCAGTTTCATAATGGTCCTCCACTGACCTACTAGTAGCTAAGCTATGATACGATTTTATAATAACAGACAAGTGAATACAAGCTATGTGAGTTGAAATATGAAGTAATTAGGACGGATAACACAGTTAGGGAGATTTTGAGGTAAGGGGTTAAGGTACCACATTAGCAAGTCAAATAAGTTCTTTGGAAAGAAATTTAAAAAAAAATACATATTAGCCAATGATCAAAGGAATTTTCTTGCAATCATTATGTTTGTAATGAGGAAGTGTTCAAGAAAAAAAATAATACTTATAATAATAGCCTAATGCGTGTCTCTCGTTGGTTAAGGCACTTAAGGTTGAAATATTTGTTAGTTTGGAGACTCAGACTGTTTCAAACTTACTTTTATTTCCTACTCAGCTTTAGAGCATGATACAGAGCTCAAATTTGTCATTCCGTTCACAAATAATACCAGTAGTGATGAGCCTCATTGCGTCTGCGGCTTATAGCAAACTACAGATTTATACATGAAACCGACCCTTACTCATAAAACCGCCCTCGTAGTTGTCCTATTCTTCTAAAACATGTTTTTCATTGGTTATATTAATTGTGTTTGTTCCTATACAGTACTTGAATTTTTAACCTACTCAAATGTTAATTTGTCATTTTTATGAAAATGTTTCAGATGTATCCTTTGAGAGAAAACCTCCTATATCAGGGTGTAAGCTCTCCTTTCAGAGTCCCCTTGGCTTTAGAGAAAGGTTAGTACCTACCTTTTATCCGGTAAAATTAAAAGAGAAGGCATTCTGTAATTAACTGTTAGTGCTTCAATAGACAATTACGTCACTAATACCTAATGGCGAGTTTCATACTTGGGAATAACAAATAAAGATTCTAACAATTACCAATATTTGTTATTTTTTTCGGGTAACTTTCATCATATTTTGAAGTTTTTAAAGTTAGATTATAGCTAACAAATAGATAATATACTCGTTGGTAGTTTTGGAGTTTAAATAGTTTAAATAGGACACAGAAGTACCTCAAAAACTTTTTTTGTGCAATCGGTGAGGGTTGCGTGCTGCCGTGAGGGTCAGAGCCCTTTTTGACAAACAATGGTTGGGGGAGGAGAAAGTCCAGTTGCTTTGGAATTTGGTATGCATTTTGACCATGGTGGAGGGGGGGGAGACAGTGGCAGCCACTAACAACACCGAGGGATGGGAAGAGGGAATGTTTGTTTGGTGGTTTGTCATCTCGAAACATTGTCTTCAGTTGATGTTCATTCTCTGACAAGTGTGAAAAGTAATTTTTTGTGTGGTAACAACCTTAACCTTAATGTAAAATCGTGTTCAACCAACAAAATACTATTATTTTAATTTTTTAATTTTTTTAACCCTTCAACTGGCACAGCGACTATAATAGTTGCGGTAGTCAGTGTCTGTAGTGGCAGCGACTATAATAGTTGCATTTTGCAAGGTTATTTTAAATTGCATATAAACAGTTAAAAACGATCGCTAACTTACATAAATTGTATACCAATCGAAAGATGAGGTTCTAAACTTTCATTTTATTACATAAATAACCTTTATAACACTGATGGATCAATATAACTTAGTGATAAAGTGGAAGAAAATTTCGCGCGAAGTCAGTTTCTCTATATAAGCATCACAAAACTACCGAAAATGGATATTTTCAACAAATAATAGCAAGAGGTATTTTTAGTCTACGGAACAGCGGGTGGTACCACTGCATCCGGCAGTTCATTTTCTATATCGAGATATATAAATTATATCGATATCTTTATAAATAACTCAAATAGAAAAATAATACCTCAGCCACCTTTTTACGTGTATTTGAACTGGCAGCGCGACTATTATAGTCGCGGTAGTAATTCACATATGTTTCAACGAAATTTATAACTTTTGTTATAATGACATATACCATCTGATAGCCCATGACATTCTGTGCATAGTGGACTTTTGTTGCCGTATGTTGCACAACCTGTACCAACGTCATCACTTGTTGTTTACGTGCAATTTATCTTCTTCACCTGTTCACAAGGTTATGGGAATTTCACCGTTTTTTAGTTTTTTTGGCCATAACTCAGCCAAAAAAAGTTATAAATTGAATGTTTTTACTTTTTTATGAACAGAAATAAATTGCTAACATTTTGTATATCTTGGATTTCATATAAAAAATTTTCTGCATTTGCAGCACAGTTTTGCTTTCAAATTTTCAAATTTGAAAAAACAATTTTTTTTGTTTTTTTCTCTTTGTTTCAAAAATTATTCTTCCAACTACTTGCAGTTTTACCATTTTCAGATTCTTCACTATTTTACGAACAATTCAAGTATATGGTTCATATGGTTTACTTTATTAGTTCAATTTATATGAATTTTCAAAAATATGTCTGCAAAATCACTAAAATGGCCTTGCCACTACAGACTTTTCTATGTGCCAGTTGGAGGGTTAAGGGAGAGGAGGGAAAATGCTTTTACGCACACAGGTAGCGCGCCTGTAGTGTGAGACTTCTGAATCCATCACAGACTATAATCACTAAAAAACCCCCTCTACTCTGTTGGACACAGACCTGGAATTGTTTGTCACATTACGTCAAGTCAGGCCAACATGTGACCTAAGCCCTCAGGGCTCTCGCCGTTTCTGGCATTTAGATTCTTTATGACCTACACCGCATCCCGGTCAAGGTTGAGCTTCTTGGCGCGGAGAATACCCTGGATGTAATGTGACACACAGGTCCAATTGTCCTCACCCTCCGTCATAATCGGTATGACCGTGTCTACCGACAGCAGTCCTACTAACTGTTGAGCCTCCAGGCGGGGCCTTTCCCAGCGCTGGCAGTGGAAAAATGTATGTTTTACGTCATCGAGGATGCCTGGGCAAAACGAAACTGAAAGTCACATTTTTTTAACATTAGTCTTATGGGTTGCTAAGTAACCATGTTGGTTGAATTAAATAACAAGGAAAAAGTAAACAAAAGACTTGAAGTTGTAGCACGTGTTCATAATAAGCCAACTACCCACAGTATACTAGCAAATTACAAATACAGTACAAAAGGGAAAGCATCACTTGCTACTATTGAGCAAAGATTATACTGAAGATTGCTCGATACATTCTAGGCCTAGTAAAGGCAAGCAGTACGAAGTGTGGGATCTGTTTATGACGATTAGATTAAGGTTATCTGCAATCCTAAAATGCTATAGGAAGGGAAGGAAACAGGTCTGTGACGTAGGAAGTGGTGAAGGAAGTAGTAAAGGAAAGTTGTCCGGAGTGTTGGATCTGTGATGTTTCTGTGATGTTTAATAGCATTAAAAAGTTAATGGGCTTACCAACAGGGTGCAGCACTATTATTTTAAAAAAATTTTGACATCACATAATTTGCAACCAAAAGGTGAGTGAGCTTAGCGAACGAGCTAAACCCGAAGGCAAGTGAGCGCAGCGAACGAGCTCCAATCTAAAGGTGAGTAAGCGTAACAAACGAACTTCAACCAGGACGTGATTGAGCGATGCGAACGAGCTCATCTTGAAAATGAACGAGCATTTGACATAAAACCACATTAGGACAGGACGACGTCTGTCAGGCCAGCTAGTAATCTATATAATTAATACGCTACATGAATCGTTGTCGGTTGAACTCCTCCGCCATTTCTTAACCGATTTTTATCCATTGAAGTCTCATTGGAACCGTGTCGCATAGATTTGCAAACTGACCTTACATTTTTGAAAAAGTCCCTTGGGCTCTGCCCCAGTGGCTGTTAAAGTTCCCATGTTATCCTTATGAAGAACATAATTGTTTACATTTTGATCAGCTGTATAATTTAATTGCTGTTATTTATTTTTCAAATCAATGAAACACATTGGGTACATTTACCGATTTTGTTGAAATTAAATATTTACTATTTTAATTTACATCCGTACATATTACAATGTAAAAAATCGAGAAATCCTGGACAATTTGATATATTTTACCAGATAATAAAAAATGAATTGACATAGTACTGTATTTCTTGAAAAATCATTTAAAGAACCGAATTCTTGTTAACCATGGAAACATAGCAAGTCATAGAACGCCACCAAGTAGAACGAATAGAGATTTTAAAACAATTTACCATCGTTATCAACCTATATAATGAAGAAAACCTACAGCTACAATATGAAGAGTCCCACAAACAATGAACAAGGATGTTAGCCAAAGTGCTACTATTTTGTAGGAAACATGGACTTAACTTTATGATGATTGGCAAAGGGAACCCCTCTAAGTCTGAATTAAACTGGTACGGCAAGGACATTAATCATTAAATATATGTTTATTCATAAAAGTCAAGTGATTTTAAAATAATGTGACTACATTCAAGAAACCTTAAAACTTTTGTTGAAGGATTCACATTATTCACATTATTATTCACATTTAAAGGAAACAAAAAACCATCTGAACAACATTAGGCCTTTCAATTCTGGATTTTTTCAGGTAAATATAATCATAGACTAACCAACACAAGTAGACTGGTCATCCCATTGTACATTTTGAAGCATGTTTTTTGTGTCTAGTTCATGTACGGTGACACTTGGCGCTAGTGTCGACAAAATTTTGTTTCTATTGTTTTAGGGTTAATTTCTTGATTTGTGCTTTACTGTTTGGTTATATAACTAGGAAACAAAGTTATTGTTTATGATTAGATCGTATTATTTGGTTAAACGAGGTTTTAAATTACTGTAATAACTGGAAACAAATTGTAAACAAAACACGACCTCTACATAAGCCGTACAGAACTAACAATAAAATTGTCTTCAGCTGTTGCATAAGGATGAGAAATCTACTTAGGGGAGTATGTTTCATCTATGATATAATTTTTGATATAACAGTAACTAGCTTAATGAATGCCAATTGATGCAAATAAAATTGCGACAGAAAGGTTAAGCAGAAAATCAGGTAGTTCTTAGTCACGTGAACAATATGTTATCGCTATAAAAAATTGACTGAAATTTGTAAACATACTGGCGACAATAGGTGGTACCATGCAGACTACATTATTATTGACAAAGATCAACATGGACAACATAATACGGCTATAAGTGGGAAACATTTAAAAAACCAGATCAGCTTTTGAAAAATGATAAAATATTTTCAAAAAATGTTGATTATATGGAACTGTTAGGTACGTATCTATGAGTTGAGTCTTTTAAACTCATCGGAAATTATGATGACTATTATTTGTTTTTAAATAACTACTTTACTTCTTTGCAATTGCTCGATTTCGAGCAACGTGTACACTAGTCTATTAATAATATGTGAAGCACATATTTCCATTATTTAAATTTTAAACAGTTTCAAATGTTAGTGTAAATTTCAAAGTATTAACATAGATAAAACATACTCCCTCAGTAGATTTCTCATCCTTATGGAACAGCTGAAGACAATTTTATTGTTAGTTCTGTACGGTTTATGTAGAAGGTTGTGTTTTGTTTACAATTTGTTTCCCGTTATTACAGTATTTTAAAACCTCGTTTTAACCAAATAATACGATCTAATCATAAACAATAACTTGTCCCCTAGTTATATAACCAAACAGTAAAGCACAAATCAAGAAATTAACCCTAAAATAATAGAAACAAAATTACGACGACACTAGCGCCCAGTGTCACCGTACATGAACTAGACACGAAAAACATGCTTCAAAATTTACAATGGGATGAGAAGTCTACTTGTGTTGGTTAGTCTATGGTATTAATATGTTCAAATGTCAACATTTATTTTCTCTATTGGGATAACATGGGAACTTTGAAGGTCACTGGGGCAGAGCCGTGATGGAATTTCCAAAATGTTTTGTTTGATGGCAAATCTACGTGCCACAACCGATCCAACGACACATGAAACTTGGTGATCGGATGCATAGCAGCTGTACAAACAAGCTACTGTAACAACAAAAATAGGTACTGAATAGCCACAATACTGTACATAAAAAAAGTATGTAGAGAGTATTTAAAGGAACTACACTAGTGTGATTAAAATACTAAACAAAATGCAACGTAAAAACTATCTCAACAACTGGCAGACTACCGACTACAGTACCTAGCCAAACAGACACATCAGGAAGCAAACACAGGAAGTTGGATTTTCATGTCTCGACAGGAATCAAAACACAACTGACTTGCACTGTTAAGGCAAAACTTCGAATTATTGAGGCACATTCGTGCGAACTTCGACTTATAAAGGTAAACTTCGAGTTACTGAGGCTCGATGACGGGAAAATTCGAGTTACAGAGGTAGAATGTTACTGTTCAAAAGTTGTTAAAATTTGACTTATTGAGGTTAAATATTTAGAAACTTCGACTTATAAAGGTACTTTTAACATTATGATTAATGTGGATTTCAAGGGGATTTGTAAAAAATTGAGATATTGAGGAATTCGAGATATCAAGGTTCGAGTAATTGAGGTTCTACTGTATCACAAAATTTGTGTTGCCCCATTAAATATATACGTATATAGATATAGATCAACTATACTAAAATATAATTTTTACATGTTTTAGGAGGAAGTAAAAATAAGTTATACTCTCTAAATGAAGTGGTTGACAGCATCAAGGGTGAAATAGACTATCTCAGAGGATTTAAAACGAGTATACTAAAAAGAAATATCCAGCACCTGTTGAATAAATTAAATCAGGTCAGGACAGCCTTCAAAGAAACTGTAAGTAGCATTCTTTATTTTATAAATTGTATGTGAATTAAATGTTATACTGGGTGGTCGGATATAAATATACTCAAATATAGTCATGATGGTTGGCCACTGGATCGTTAATATTAGCACTAATACGGTTTGTTACCTGGCTTCTGTCAACGGTCCACGGTAGTTTCCTAAAACTACCGTGGATCATAGGCAGAAGTCAGGTAACATAAACCTTATAATGATTTTCAACATAACATTTATTTACATTTCTGAGTTTGTTAATCTGTCCAATATGAAAATAAGTTATAATTAACCAAAGGAGTATTGTCTCTCACACAAATTATTTACGGAAAATAAAATCCAAAAATTTGCATCCTTCATCGATGCACATCAGGATTCTTTCCTCCAAGTTCTCCATCACTTTTGTGATAGTTTCCCTTCAGTACTTAATATTTCTTCTCGATTTGTCTCTTTCAGTTCATTTAAGGTTCGGGGGTTGTTTCTTTTGGTCAAATGAGTAATATTAAAACACATACAATTTGATACAAAACACAAATAACATTTTATTATATCTATTTCTTTAGACCTACTGTTTGCAGGATTTTTCCACTTTTCAATATTCTAATTGATTTTTCCTGTTGTCATAAATTTGCTGTTTTCTGTTGAGGTGTCTAATTCTGATGCTTCTCGGCACACATTGAAATTTAAATTGCAACAATTATCAGAGTTTGGTTTTTGCAATTTTCATATTTTTTTACTTGGTTCACATGTTGATTTTGATTGTATGGATTTAGATTTGTTTGGGCTTAATTTTGCTTAAAGTTTTAAGAGGGCTCGAATTCATTGAATTTGCATATTATTCATATGTTATATTTTGTAGCAAGGCTTGATCGAATAAAGTTTAGAAAGTCATTTTGGTCTAAGAGATTTAAATATTTCAAGAGCAGATTTTCTAACTGCTCTTTTTTCTTGCCTTGTTTTTCTTTCATAAAAAGAAATGATTTTTTGAAAAAAAAACGTAATGCACTACATTTGAATTTTTCTTAGAGTGGTTCCAACAAATTGCGACACTGCAGCCCACCATGGTATTAAAAAACTCTTTAATAATATAAAACTTGTTGAATCCCTTTGAAATTGACGGTTACTCTTGAGTTTATAGGTAAATTCAGCTAACTGCGATGGATAGAGTGAAGTTATTAAAATCTTAGTAAAATGAAGGGAGGATGAACATAATTATGAGTAAGAGGATTGTGTACTTTAAAAAACGTGGTTAATGAATTCGTTGAAATCAATATTTTCCCTCCTTTCATCGGCTTTAGGTTACCCAAAAGACTTTTCAGGAGTCTTACAATTGTTTCTTGTTCATGACTTTTGTTCATGTTAAAACCTCTTTCACTATTATGGGGAAAGGAGTTCATATAATTGGTCTGTCATCTGACGGAAAGAGTCAATATTACTAAAATAACTGGTTCCATCTGCTTTAGGAAAATCATTCATATTGTATTTGGATTGTATAAGTGAATCACCATCTTTGGTCATAAAAATACAGAATTTTATCAGCGGGAGGCATATTAAATGTTTTTTTTTTAATTTGATAAAATATCTGATTGATAAATACTTCATTCGCTAATTGATTAACTTCTGGCGTAGTTTTGTGAAATTGTGCCATGAAGTCGCCGTCAAACTTGAACTTTATTGATATGCGAGGGTCAATTGCCTCGGCCATATGGATCTCATAAAGTTGTGCATTTTTTTGTGTGGATGGAATGGAACATAATTGTAGTGAATTTGGAAACAAATCTTGAACATTTGAGGAACCACATCCATAACTTAGTCTGGCTTTGTTGGCAACAAATTATGCAAAAGAGATGAGATGTGATGGCACTCTTTTATTTAATTAATACCTGAATTGCCTTCAATTCACCTACTTCACCAAAATCATAGATTAAACATACTCTTTGGTAAAAACTTTAACACAGCTCACATCCTCAACGTACACTTGCATGGCTTTTATTCTATGACACAATTTTCTACCTGATTATCAAAAACTTTTATGCTAATAATCTCACAAACCTCTGACGTTCTTTCTTGAATTTAATGATAAATGGTTATTGAAAGTAGACCAAAAAAGGTAAGCACCAATCCCTACAATAAATATAAGCTAACCCGATAAGGAATAACTATCTGTTCCTTTGAAATTGATTATTGTCCCAGTGTTTTTATAATACAACATTTTATAAGTGCATTAAAACATAGATAAAAAAAAATAAAATGTACCTATCGTAAATTTATCATTTTATTCAAACTATAAAAAACTTGCCATGCAGTGGAAAATCTATTTTAAAATCATAAATAATAATGTAAACATTTCATTTCGCCAGATTCAGTAAATGCTCATAACAGCTGGTTCATTAAAAGTACAGTAGTGTAAAATTATCCATATGGCCGTAATGTAAACAAATCTGCTGAGGGAACTTTAAAAGCCTCTGGGACGGAGCTCCAAAGGAATTTACCTAGTTTCTCTTTTGATGGCTCATCTACAGACCAAGACCATTCTTAGGACACCCCTACCAAGTTTCTACGCCCAGCCGTTCTCTCAAATTGAGCTGTGACAAAAACCCCGTTTTTTCTCCATAAGAATAACATGGGTGTTCAGTAAAAGGCCAGCTGACCATATGAGCATAATTCCCACATGTCAACAACAATACAATAATAAAAATTTGAAAATGTAAACATTCCAAGGTAAACATTCTGGTTCAAAAAAGTGCAATTTTTCTCTCTTGTAATATCGTTTCTTTGTGTAACATAATTCATTTCTCTCTCCTTTTATTTTGACTTATTTCATTTACCTTTTCCTTTTGTGTTCATTAAATAAACCTTTTTTAATTTGACTAAATTCTGTGTACCGTGAGAACATTTGGACATTCATGAAACATATCTTCTCAACTAGAGACAACATTCGACCAGATCTTCTTTCAAGACCTTAATAACGTCAAAGTGGTAACATAACTATAGTTCAGTGTTAAAAATTATACCAAAAGTCCATTATTTTCTGTTGTCAAAATTAAATTAATAACCCATATACAGTCCACTTTATTATTTCTACAATAACCTTTTGATTACGCTACAATGGGAATGTTAAGTAGTCTACAATACATTTTTAAGTTGATAAACCTCTTGTAGCAACGAATCCGCTGTAAAGAGGCATTAGTGAAAGAATACAAATAAATATTGTCTTTCCCTGTCATACTTCTCTTAGACCTCTCACTTGAAGTAAATTGACTTCAGCCCTAAAATTCCTGACATCAACCATTTTAAAAGTGCTCTGTCAAACCGGTTCCTTACATGTGAGTAGAAAAGACCCCTGTAAATTCAAGTTGGAACAGGTCCTGTGTTAGTCAAGCGGCGCGTGTATGTGTGAGAGACTCACTCAATGAGTCATATACCTAGCCCAATTAATTGGTGATTTCCCTGTCCTACATACATTATTTCAGGTAGAGCAGTTTAACACTACAATCAATAAAAAGCAGTGCTGACATTTAAACGAAAATGTTAGATTGGTATCGTAACAACATAAATGATGTTTCTAAATTTGTAATCGTTTGCTTTTTTACATAAGCCTGGATTTGTATTAACTGATACATGCCACAAGGCCATAAGCTATTTATTTTTTCATACATTATGGCTGGATATTTTTCATTTAATATTGTTCGAACTGTATGCTTTGTATAATTTGAAAGAATGATTTGTCGCGGGTATCAAATTTAAAATGCACTTTTTAACATTGTAGGTGGACCAAACAGCCCGCAACAGAGAGACAGGGAGGTCTGTTGCGTGGGCTCTGCAGTCTTCTTTGGAGAAACTGATCCCTAACGAACTAATTGGAGGGAGAGAAAATAAAAAACAGTTGATTAAGAACATAAAAAAAACTTTTCTTTTCGGAAAAGACGATTCCATTTCCAAGAGTCACCTGATTCATAAGATCAGGGTAGAAAGAATTGTCTACATAAGGCAAATGACTGCTACAAGGTTTGACATTGGAATTTTCTATTCTGTTTTTATTATCTTACTATTATTCTATTGTTTTATTCTTCTTCATTTATCCATAGTCATTAACTAGACTTGTAACTGGGGTTGGGGTTGATGTAAAAGTTTGTATCTGTAGTTTATTATTTATTTGTAACTTTACCAAAGAATTAGGAAGCTCTATAGGTGCAATTACCTTTTTTGTTGCCTGTGTTCTTGAGTTAGATTTTTTTATATTTCCCTATGTACATTTTGCCAACTGTTGGGAAACTAAAACTAACTTGCTCACTATCTGTTTACAATCACATGGGTTGTTTTAAATTTGTGTGTTTGTTTTATCTTGAAACATTTTCTGTAAACACAGTTCATAATAAAGATTAACAACTATTAATCTATTATATTTTCTTTCTTTATTTAAAATAAACACTAGGAAAACACTTATTATGCCATATCCTTATCACTAACACTATTGTTTAAATATATTTACAAATTTACACCTATCACTGATATTGCGGTGGGGTCTAGAAACTCTGCGAAGTCATGTTGGTGGGAGGTTTCTCAATCTCTTTCAGACAAAAATGTGGTTCAGATTCCACTATAAACTTAGGTCCCTTAGTTGCCTAGCTGAAGCAGAAGAAATTAGCTGCATGGGCTATTGACTTCATATATATTTACAATTTTAAAGTTTTATTTTTATGTTCATGGGCTATTGACTTCAGTCTCTTTTTTGATCCAGCCTCAGCAGGAACCGGCAATAACGTCTTTATGTCACTCAGTTTAATCATAGCTACGTCAGCAACATTTGGAGAAGTAGATGGCCCTTCAAATTTACACTTTAGGGCAATGGAACAGTTCCATTGTGGCCCAACATCAAGTGTTTCATTGTGGCCCATGTCTGTTTGATCAGAAAAACTAACCCTAATTCCACTTCAGAACTTAGTACAAGTATGCAAACTTGTCTAAAAGTTTGAGAAAGAGTTGTTCTTTATACTGGTGTGTGACACTTAGCTCTTATAACTGCAAATAGAAGTTAAAGTTGTGAAGAAATAACCTAGAAAAGTTACCACCTTAGAGGCAGCCATTTGCACCAATGAACTATGGGTAGACAAATAGTTTTGGAGTTCACTCACAGAGTGCAGCAGTTGGCAGACTAGCCAAATACAAAAAATTGTAGTTGCTCCTCTGTGGCCCATGTTCTATTGTGGGCCACCCTCCCCTACTTAACCCGAAAATTACAAATATCCCTGCCGCAGCAAACCTGCAGACTTAGCGAATTTCAACTTGTCTGATTACATTTTTACTAAAATATTTCCATAAGACATATTTATTCCCAATTTAAATATCATTAGATTTAACGAGTGCTTAGGGTTGCTGCAACAGGGAAGGTAAGAAATGTGTTTTTTGACCATACAACAATAGTATGAGTGAAATAAATAAATTTGCCAATTTTTATCAATATACATATATTCATAAACAAGTAAACTACAACAACTTTCATTTTCTCCATAAGAATAACATGGATAGCTGGATGTAGGAAGCTGAAGTTTAGGAACGGTCTAAGACTAAAGATGTTGGTGATATCACTGCTCCAAACAGCGTGATGGCGAAGTGTCTGTTACTTTCTGTTACTTTATGTATTAATAATTTACACTCCCACCTTATTTTAACGTGTCTCATAATCTATCCCTTTCCAAACAGTAAAAAAATCTTTTCTTTAACTAATTATAAGAAATCTAAATGAATAAATATTTACCACATCACAAAGCAATGGGTTGATAACATTTATATTTTGTACTTACGTAGGCTATTAAATTAAATTAAATTAAGCTGAAATGAAAAATTATTAATAGTACGAGTACGTGACATTGTCTAAATTAAATAATTGATTTCATGTACAGTGCCAAGGAGAAGGCGTGTGTGGTGATAGTTAAATGGCTGTGGACCCTCGTCAAGAGGCTGGTGGCTTGGTGCTTCTATGTTAGTGAAAAGCAAGAAGCATCAAACCAACTAGTCTTCATTCCCAAACGAGTGTGGCAGTCAGAAACACAGAAGTCATTTGATGCCTTGATGGAGAGTTCCCTTAAACTCCTATCCCCCACAGAGGCAGGGAAGCTTGTGGGATTCACAACTCCTGGAAGAATGCGGTGGGTACCGAAGAGAGAGGGGTTGAGACCCATCATGAGTTCTAGGTGAGTTTCTTTTGAGTAATCTATATGGGGAAGAAAAGGCATTGATAGCAGATTTACTGGATCCCCCAAGGAAAATCCAAAATTTGTTGGGTATTCCTGATCTTTGAAAAGGACTTGAGTTTTGCTTTCAGCCATGGAATTTAATTTTTTGCCAGAGAATGTTATTGCTAATAAGTATTCTGTAGTATACAGGGTGTGGCTGAAAAGTAACTTGCACCAGTTAAGTTTTCGACCATTTGAGATATATGACATCTGTTTGCGGCAACCTTCTTAGACTTGAAGGGCTACAATAATTTTGGTAAATTTTGAAAATTTTGCCCTTAGGGTAGTGGGGGTAGGGGGTAGCTCAAAATTTGCAAAAAGTAAGTATAGTCATTTTACAGGTCTTGACGAAACATAAAAATTAACATAAAGAAAATAGAAATCGGACCATTAATAACAAAATAATGGCAGCTAAAAATGATTAAGACAATGGTCATTAAACGTAATTTTCTATTTTCTTCTGGGTGTTTATAAAAGAATGCCTGGATTTTAATCGGTCGTTGCTCAGGGACTGTTTAAGAAAATTAAATGATTCGAACGTCAAATTGCAGTGAAAAGAACAAAGTTTTTTCTCATACTCTGATACAATTTGGAATCATTTAATAAAATTCAGATTTTCATCAATCATATATGAGGGTAAAACTGGCTAAGTCTGTATGCTTAGGGCCATCGGCGGGTTTATCTGATGTCTTAACTGAATATTTTTAGGCACAAAGACTCTATCTTTTACAGATAACATCATTTATATTATTAATACGCTACATGAAACTCTGTGAACAATAAGGTTTTTTTGTTTTAAGATTTAACCCCATATATTATATACCAAAAATGTTCGTCTAGGTGTGTAGATTTGCAAACTGACCTTACATTTTTGAAAAAGTCCCTTGGGCTCTGCCCCAGTGGCTGTGCCCATGTAATCCGTGTGAAGAACATAGTTGTTTAGGTTATGATCAGCTGTATCATTTAATTGCTGTTAATATTTTAGTTGCAATTTAAGGAAACAATGCTACAAACATTTGACTTAGTTCAAATGAAATATTTACTATTTGAATTTGGGTTGGCTTAAATAAATATTCCAATGGGAAAAGGGAAGAAGGATTGGCCAATTTGATATACTACAGAGAAAACTGAATTTACACTGCTGCATTTCTTGAGCAATCATTGAAAGAGCCAATTTACAAACTATAGGTCGGCCTCTTAGAAAGCGTCCTCCTCGTAGCATTGGTGCGAGAGAGATATACCGAGCTGTGGGAGTGAGACAGAAAATGGCTCTTCCCCCACTCCGCTGCCACCCCACCCCCCCCCTTTATTTTATTTTACCTTTTATTTTACCAAATCATATGTTTTCTTGTAATTTTCCAAAGACTTTTGAATGACAATCATTAGGAATCAGCATTGAATATATAACACTATTATTTAGTTTTATATATCCAAAATAGCGTTGTATTCAACATTAAATGAATATACTGTCCAGTTATATTGTACAGTTATATGGTACCATTTAACCGAAAAACAGTAAAGCAGTAAATACCGTACTTGATTGGCTGATTGGAGGGGTGGGGGATGTGCGTGCACACACCTTCTTTTATACTCCTTGCCATCCCAGGTCCAGAGGTATTACGGTACTACGGTACATGAGTACTACGGTAATAGCTTATACCCTATATAGGAAATTCACTAAAAGGCTTTCACTAAGATGTGTGATCGTTACTTGCGATGGTGGCAACGCCATTATAATTGCAGTCACGTTATTTGCGTCTTACACGGGGGAGCGAGCTGGCGTAGTGGTTAGAGCGCGAGACTTCAGTCCCTGAGGTCCCGGGTTCGATCCCCGCCAAGTCACCAATGGATTTGATCTAAGTGACAATGCCGCAACCCCTAGGTCTAGCCTAAAGTAATGTGTACAACAATCCCAGGCTCGTGCCTAGCGTCCTAGGACAAAAAAAAAACAAATTGCGTCTTACACAATCCTGGCAACATCCGCGATAATCTCCTGCGATTATCTCAGCTTCCATGACTCTTTGTGATTGCGGCCATATCTTAATCGCGGCGAGATTCGTGATGATTGTCCGTATCGCGGCAACAGCCGTTGCGGTGGGTCCTGTATTCGTGATTGTTTGCTGTGGTCATGATTTTCCACTTCGCAAAACGAGAGAGGCCATTCGGTAAGCGTCTAGTAAATTTTTGAAGTTATTAAGAAAAACCATAGTCCGAGGGGTTCTCCTACGGGTTTAGTAGTTTAGTGCTTGGGTTTAGTGTATGTCATTAAAGTGTAATAAAATCTCTACAACTTAAGCTATATGCCGTTTTGTGCTGTTTTTGTTAAATATATGTAAAAACAATCTTGTCAATTTATTTGTAACTATTTATTTTCTACTAAGGCTACTTAAATGAGAGATTTTCAATTATATAAAACATAAGTAGGAGTTGCAAAAAAGGTATTATATTAAAAACTATTTGTATATGGTCACCTAAAAATATATTGACTGTTAGGCAGCCACAGTTACAGTATTTACTGCTCACTGTTTTCCGATTAAAAGGTACTCACTATCAAAATGTTATATACTACCCCCATTGAATATACAGGGTGCGGCAAAAAACCGATCTATTTTCTTCAGTGCACTGTTCAGCGACAGGCCGTCTGAGGGTGGTGGGAGTAGGATAGCCTATACGATACAAATAGGCATCCGATCTGACTTTGGTCGGCATTTCAGCTTCCTTTTCAACGCAGAAGCCGTTGTTCTAAAGTTAGTAACCCACCACATTATTGTTATACGCAACGGAAATTCTCCATGTCACCTTAATTGAAATAATGTACGAAACTGCTAATGCTGCTGAGTTGCAATGAATGAATTTAATACTTTTTAAAAACAACTCCATAACAACCGCACGTAGCTCAGGCGACCACTGCTCTGTGACTAGAAAAAATGGCATCGTGTAGGCTTTCCAACGAGCTTACTCCCACCACTTTCAGACAACCTGTCGCTGAACAGTGCTCTGCAGAAAATGGATCGGTTTTTTGCCGCTCCCTGTACTGTATAACACAATGACTATATTCAATATTCAATACAACACTATATTGGATATAAAACGCTAAATAGTGTTATATATTCAATGCTAATTCGTAATGATTGTCATTCGAAAGTCTTTGGGAAATTACAAGAAAACATATGATTTGGTAAAATAAAACACGTTCAGTTCGCATGTGACGTCACTATGCACACATAGGGGTGTGCGATGCATCGAAAATGCATCGAAATTTCGATTCGATTCGATTCGATGCATCGAATCGCGATTCGATTCAGTGGTGGTCAAAAAACGATTCGATTCACGAGGGAGTCAGTATCCATATACGAAAAACGCCTGCAGAAAGTCAATGCAATACCCGCAATACAGGAGCGCGTTGCTGTTGCGTTTCCTTTACGAAGGCGTTCTTATTTAATACATTCTTTGCATTAAATATAGCTTTAATTGTTTTATATTTTTTTGTTTTGACATTGCAAATGATTAGAGGTTTGTTTTTTGTCTTGATGTAAGCAGTGTGTGAAATATTTTACTACTGTGAACCTAGCCAAAACAAGGTAGGTTACTCCAAAATCATTTTAAAAATAAGTCTGAAAAATTGTTACTTAATACTTAACTAGTAAGATTAATGTTATAGACTGATTCATTTTTTTTTTTTGTTAGGTGTCTGCCGGTCCCCGTCCCCGAATTTTTGTTGGGGCAAAAGAAAAAAAAAGAATAATTTATTTCCAAAGAAACACTCTTATATTATTATATCTATTATTACAGAGTAATTAAAATGTTCAAATGAGAATTAAAAATTAAGTTGGCTCACGACAGAGCAATTGCCGCACTGCCACTAGCCAGAGCCAGGTCTAGTCGTCTACTGATAAGAGTAACAAGACAAAAGCCGTGATGCAACACTAACAGTGCAAAGAAAACAAAGTCAAAAGAATAGAAAGACTATTTATCCAGACATACTAGTATAATCATTTATTGTTTATTCAATACCTAATTAAAAATATATTTTATTATTTTACATAATAAATTATAAACAAAAGAAATATCTGATATAGTGAACAGATCTGTATCTTGGTTAGATGGGGTTAAAAAAATATATTTCTAATATCCAATACAATATTTACAACTCACAAATTACATTGAATTAATTTCTTTGAAAATAATCTCTAACAGTTTTGTGTTTTTGAATAAAGAAATATATTTCTTTGTCTCTACTCCCTTGTTTCATCACTTGCATTTTGTCAGCAATTGAAGCAACTGGGTAGCAACCGGGTGGTGTAAGAGGGGAGGGGGAGGGTCTATGACCTTGAATTCACACATCGTTGCCCGGGCCTGGCTGGTGAGACTGATTCATTGTTTTTGTTGACATACTACTACCCTTCCTTAAGAGAAAAAGGCCCTGCTGTTCCAAAAACATTGAGGGTAGTTTAAAAACATTGACCTGTGTTGCCAAGGGCACTAGGCTAGAAGATAGCATTTAACTTTCTTGTCTCTTGATTTAATATTATTTTAATCTTCTATATATTATTTAAGAATTACTTTTCGGGTACCTAATTAGTTGTGATATTGTTTGGCTTTATTTTATGGATTTTTAATTCTTTTCATTCATTAGCTATCAAAATCAGTTGTTTTAGGATTTTAATCTCTTGCAGTAGGTCTATACTACTGTATGACATGATATGCATTTTTTAGTCCTTATTAATTATACCATAAACAATGTTTGTATGTTATTTACTGTTTTTGAGTTTTATAGGAAATTAGTTTACACAATATCTTTTCTTCAATGAGTTCTCCACTTGACATGTTGCTTCTAGCCTATTACTATTTTAGGCCCTATAAAAATAATGCCTAGGTAAAGCTGTAGGCCTACTGATGCCAATAATAATTCTTTATTTATGATGATGTAACAAATAATGTAAGTGTGAGGTTATTATACTAAGGAGGCAGGGAATGAATGATACATATTGCATGGTGGAAACATATTATTTTTATTTTCTTCTTGCTTGCAGTCCTGAAGCCGGTCCACAGGCCCTAAACTTGTGATATGTAAATTTATTTCTTAATGGTCTTTTTATATTAAGTTCCATTCAAATTTGTCGTAATTTAGCTACCGGCACCTATTTAGTTATTTAAACAGTTATTAAAATGAGAATGAATGTCTTGATAAAAAAAATATTTTCTTCTTTCTTGCAGTTGAGCCAATTCAAGTAAAAATTATGAAATAGGCAAGTAAAGCAGCTCACTGGTATTTCCAGCAGTTATTCTAATACATATGATTGAAAATAAATATTTTTTCACCTAAAATTCATATGTTAAGTATGAAATAGGCCTAATACCACATCAACAAAAATTTGTATTACACAAATGTGATACATTTTAATTATTGTTAATCCACTCAATTGACAATTATGAATAGAAAAATACCGTATTGCTTCGAATCGAGTTGCATCGAATCGAATCGAAAATCTTTTGAATCGAATCGTTGCTTCGAATCGAAAATTTTTTGCTGCTTCGCACACCCCTTGACACACCTTGTGAAAACGGCCATTGGTGGAGAGGAGGAAAGTACCCTCCCTCTCTGTTACCTCCCCAACATGCGCAAAAAATTTCGCGCGGGTCGTTTTCTAAACGGCCGACCTATAGGGAAACATAGGAAAGACATAGAACACCACCAAGTAGAAGAAAAAGAAATGATGTTTTTTTTTTTTAGAATTTATAATAGTTATTATGAAAAAACCTAATGTGGCTATGAGTGGGAAACATTTTTATAAAACACTAAAAAACAAGATCAGCTTTTTGATAAATGATAAGATATTTATAAGAAATATTGATTATAAGGTACTGTTATGTACATCAAGAGTATTTCCATAATCTTTGAGTCGACTGTTTTAAAGTCATCGGAAATTATGATTGTCATTCATTTTAAAATAACGCCTGTAATACTTCACATTCGCTCAAATTCGAGCAACAGGTACACTAGTGAAGTGTTGATTTAGGTATGTTCATTGTTCAACCTTTGTCGGGCAATCCATTTTTTGGAGCTTCTGATGCAGAATCGTCAGATTTCTTTGACTATGTCATACTTGTATTTAGCCGGCCAGGTGAATGTCTTTTCAAAACACTACAGTGCCACGAAACTCATTAGACCAGTGTCAAATTTCTTTATCATCAAGTAGATTTAAATTTAGTTTAATTTAGCAATCGATATAAACTCTCTGAACCACAGATTGCACTCTGTGCCTTCTATTGCACCGTAAACATTGCACTGGCGTCGAGTCGCAATAGCGCCCTACTACCCCGCACCTGTTTTGCACATTCCAAGGTCAAAGTTACCTCCCTTGCTACATAGGAAACAAAACTTAGTTTATCTTGGCTTCAACTTGACGTATAAAACGTTTAGTTACCTTGAATAGTATTCAAGCAACTACTGTTTTTTTTTTAGCTATTATGGCAAAAAGTTATTATGGTCTAGCACGAACGTTGCTATTTTGACCACAATATTAGCTTTTTACAAAAGGAATTCAAAATTCTAAAAGTACTTACAATTTTAATTGGTACTTTCACCAAAAATTGTAAGAAGCTCAAATTGCTATATCCTAGTTTGTGTCATATTATTTTCCTAAATTAAATAAATGTTTACCTTTTTTATTTCAGAAAAAAAGTTCCATTGGAAAATGATAGAAGAGCAAAAAATCTGTTAAATTCTCTACTAAAACATTGTCCTCCAGTTAACTCCAAAGCTATGCACAGCATCTGGGATCATTTGCTTCAATTGCAAAACCAAGGAAGAAAGCTCTACTTTATCGCTTGTGATGTTCTTGATGCCTACGGCTCCGTCAAACATGTTAGTACCATAAAAGCAGAAAATAAGCCAATAATTCAGTGAACTGTTAGTCATCCAATGCAAAAAAAGTTTAGGCCTATTATTTGTATCAAACTCATGGATATATACAATAATGTTAAAACGAGGTGTTAGCCCGTCCTACGTACGGGAATTCAGTCAATTAAAACCGTGTACAATTCAGATCAGCTAGTTTACACATATAAAGACAAAGTTTCTTGCAGTTTTAATGTGAAAAATCATCTTGTGAACAAATGTTGTGTTACCAAATATGTTTTTATTCCATCATAGGCCTATACGATATGCATTTTAAATCCGATAATTTTACAATAAAACAGCAATTCTGCAATCAGTTAAATTATGTGTACTGTGAATTTTATTGGATATTATCGTTTTATTTTAGGTTGTTTCTATCCAGACCTACTGGAAATTGTGTATAGTAGTTGTATTGTGGTGATAATATTTATGGAAGAGGCAGGTATGCTATGGAAGGTGGTATTGTTGACTAGGTCTATTTATACACTTCTCAATTGACTATTACTCTCTCTACTGTAGGCTACTTATAATCAGTGTGCGTCTGTGTGAATCGGCTGCAAATCTCACTTGAACTCTTTTCACATCGTAAAAATTGCAGAATTGCTGTTTTAATGTAAAATTATCGGATTTAAAATGCATATCGTATAGGCCTATGATGGAATAAAAACACATTTGGTCACACAACATTTGTTTACAAGATGATTTTTCACATTAAAACTGAAAGAAACTTTGTCTTTATATGTGTAAACTAGCCGATCTGAATTGTACACGGTTTTAACTGACTACTGAATTCCCGTACGTAGGACGGGCTAACACCTCGTAATGTTAAAAAGTAATTATTTATCTAGGTACTTGATTTTTTTTAGCAACATGTTATGGTTTTGTAAGGTCTCATGATACTGACCCCATTGTCAGTTTTTGTTGCGAGGATGAGTGATCAAACCCCTATCCTATCTCAAAACACAATTCATATGATTGTTTTTTATACTGATACGTTTGTTTTGAACTCTGGTGTCTACACTCCCATCCACCAATTATTTCAATAATACTCTTTTGAAAGACATATCAAGTAAGAAAATCATAATCACGGGAAATTATATTAATATTGCTTTGGTTGATTGTGAGATGATCACAGAACTTGCAGTTCACTCACAGTTGTACACTACATGTGTAAAAACTTGCCTATCAAATAAGTGATTTTCTCAAAAATAATTATAATATTAAAACTAAAACCACTTTTAAAGTAACACAAGCTTTTTATTTTCTTATTTAAATTCAACCATTGTCTATTAGTCAAAGATTCAACTAACTCATGTTTGTTTACAAGAGTAACAATATTAAAATAACCATATGAATTATAACATGTGACTTGATTAAATGTATTAAGCCAGTAGAAGCAAGGCCCCACTAGAAAAAAAAACAGGCCATGCTGCAACACAGGCAGCGCAACGCTACGTCATGAAATTTGGTATAAACGTGTAAACCTACATTTATTCAAACGAGTTCGCGAACCAGCATGATCGGACAATGGGAACTGGGGTTTACGGCTGGGTTTTATGGGGTAAAAATAGGTTTTTCCCATTTTTGATCTAAAAAACATCAAATTTAGCAATTTCTTTCCAAACCATTTTGTAGAGCTTAAAAAAACAAATCATTTAGTATATTGAAGCGTTATTATGCGCCTAATGGTTACAGAGAAAATTCTAAAAAGATGAAAATTTAAAATTCCCATGTTATTCTTATGGAGAACAAGTAAACTGTTGTAGTTTGCTTGTTTCTGAACATATTTTGATCAAATTTGGAAAATGTTTTTATTTCTTACTACCTAACATTAAAAAAAAAAAAAACAGTTTTACCCTCCCTGATGCAGCAAACCTAAGTACTTGTTAAACTAGGTAATTCTATTTAAATAGGAAATAATGCTATATTTTTAAGTAGGTAGACATTTTAGTGTAAATCCAATCAGGAAAATGTAAATTCGCTTAGCCTGCAGGCTTGCTGCGGCAGGGGTATTTCATCATTAGTCTGCACTTTCTTGCATAGGACAGTTAAATGGTTACCTTTGCAGAAAATAAACTTAACTTGTAACTTACATGTACTTGCTAAATTACATTTTTTTAAACATCTTAAACATGCTCCTTTTTTCTTTGCTATCTCAACCCGTTCATCTATGTTCAAGTCGATCAATGAAAAGCATTCATGTGACAAATGAGATCCTTTTGAACAAATACAGTTAGATTTAACAACTGACTCCGGTTTGATAGATGACACAAGAACAGCAGCAGAAGGTAAGCTTGTCGTTGGCTTAACAGATTTAGTCGTTTTATATTCTTTTTTACCAACAGTATCTTGATCAAACTTATTAACCTGCAACTAAGAAATTCAAAAGCTGAACGAGACAATTTTCTGGTTCTTTAGTTGATGTATTGTGTAGAGCACGGTGTCTTTCCCAGACACAGGTTCTTGGATAGCTGATTCTACTAAAGGGGAAAGTATTGCTGCAAATTTGACTTTGGTTACACCCAATGAATCTAAAGATCTAAGCTGTACCCCCAATTTATCATTAATATATGTCACAGAAAGATTTTCCTCTCTTTTAAGAATTAGGGTTAACAGTTCCCTTACATAATATTCAATGAGGAACTCGTCTTTCCCATATCAGGACTTCAAAAGCTCTACAGCTTTTGCATAGTTTTCTTTAGATGCTGGAAAACCTTCAATGAGTTTTTGAGCAGGAGAATCAGGTTTCATTGATTGTTAAAGATACTCAAATTTGTCTTCATCTTTCAAAATATTGTCCTCATGTATTTTAGCAAATTAAGACCAAAACCCTATCCAATTTTTGATTTCTCCATCAAATCTTTTAAGCTAAATTTTTGGGAGTCTTGCTTTAGTACAATTTGAAAGGGCCGGTATACTAATATTTGAATGTGAATCAACTGCAACAGCATCTGAGTATTTTGAACGATCATAGTTACCTCATGATTATTCTCATTATATTCAGAAGCTGTTGTCATCTCATTTTCAATGTCCTCTTCATTAGCATTCTCATTTTCTATCAACTTGTTTAAAACTTTTTAATTTACTTTCTGTAATTTTCCATGAAACTCTGAAGTGAATATTTAGTAAAATATTTTAGTAAAATAATCCTCAAATCAGCATTGTTGTCTACAAGTTCTTCAATAGCCTTGGCCTTGGTAAAAACTGACCTAATCAAATAAGTGATTATCTCTAAAATAATCATAATATTAAAACCACTTTAAAGTAACACAAGCTTTTTATTTTCTTATTTAAATTCAACTAACTCATGTTCGTTTACAAGAGTAACAATATTAAAATAACCATATGAATTATAACATGTGACTTGATTAAATATTCAAATATTGAGCCAGTAGGAGGAAACAACTTAAAAGAACATTTTCTAACAACATGGGTAAAACAAAATGGCCTCATTTAAGAGGCATAGTGAAAAGTGAAGACTAGCACACAACTGCAGCACTGAAGTGGTAGTATAAGTGAAGGTGGGACTTACTGTACTTTCCAAATACACCTTGTAAACCAACATGTTGGCCTACAAAGCTAGATTCTTATATTATTGTTGTGTATCTTGTATCCCATGTTATCCATTATTTTTTTATTACTACCTCCTATGATTTTTTATTAAACATGTGTATCATTACAGTAGATATAATAATGACATTTTTTTAGGAGAAAATGATTGAAATTCTTGATGAAGAGGTAATGTCTCGACTAGGTCCACTTAGGGTAAGTAATTTTCTTTAATTTTTAGACCTGCATCGTAATTACAACTACTAAACATATATTAAATACATTGAGGGAATTCCAAAACATAATCAGCCAGAACATAAAATTATTAGTTAAGATGTTTTTCTATCATTAATCAATACACAACGTCATTCCCTCCCCAATAACACTTCCCTATAAGGCTGTGATAACGTTCATAAGTATAGTAACAGTAACACCAACTTTTGAAAAAACCGTAAGCTTGACTCCTACCAACCGAATACTTGAATAAAAGGTCTCTTTTAAATTCTTACCAAAAGTGTTAATTGTCAATTATTGCTTTGCCTCAATAATTAATGGTGTGTGTGTAACTGCATTTTATAGTAGATTTAAAGAACCACACTATCCTCACCTCGTTTCAAGGCACGAAGCAGCTAGTTTTATTAATATGGTTATCCTTATATAATACGTGAAGGCGATTTCTACAAAACACTACTCCTCCGTTAATAATGGACGGATTTTTACAAACGAGGTGTCAAAATTAAGTATGTTGTGTGTAGACGCCCCCTTTCTCCGATTCCTGTAATAAAAGTCCTCGGGCTTTGCCCCACAGGCCATCAAAATCCCAATATATTTCTTATGAAGAAAAGATTTTGTTTACTTGAACGGACAAATAATTTGTGTTGATTACAGCTGTTCATAAACACATGATACACATACGGGCGTTTGTTTTCAGAGTGAGTTCGTTTCCAGTTTCGACAACTGGAGTGGAGTGAGTGATAACATTATCTTTGAGTTGACTCTTTTGAGTCATCGGAAATTGTGACTGTTATTCGTTTTGAAATAACGCCTGTAATACTTTGCAATTGCTCGAATTCGAGCAACAGGTGCAGCAGTCTTCAACCTCCTCTCCTTCTACCACTTATGATGAACTAACTTTTATTGCCTTTGAAACTAACTCTACACCCCCACTACCTTTATACTGTCCTCAATTTACTATGCGTGGATTTGTGTCTTCACTTTTATTCCCTCCCATAAAAGCTAAATGAAATACATTTATTTGGTTAAAGTTTGATTTTTACTTTATTTTTAGTACAAAGAAGAAGAAGATGTGATATGTTCTATTAAGAACAAAATAAAATTCCAAATCTTTTGTATTTCAAAGAAGACTTACCTGCTGACCAAGGGACTGCCCCAAGGTAAGATTAATTTTGCTGCAAAAAGCTTAATTGTTTTGTTACCTAATTAGTTCTAAGAGCCTTTTTGAAATTAACGTTTCATATTGACGTAGGTACAAAGGTAAACTTCGAGTTACTGAAGGTCAATGGTTTTGTCGCAATTGGGAAAAATATGACATTGTTTTTGTGACCGCAGGAGACGAATATTTTGTTTTCAACACCAAAGAATATATTCATGGTTTTGACGCAGCCACGGTAAAAGATTACGTTGGCTCCATGGCTGTGGGAGACGAAGATATTGTGTCAAAGATCAAAGAATACATAATGATTTCTTCGCAATTGCGGTAGAAAGATTATGTTTTTTCCGTGACTGCTGGAGACAATGATTATTTCCACAAGACCACCGATTATGTAGGCTTACATGATGTTGCCACGATCACGGAAAACCATGACGAGATTCAATGACCGCGGAAGACGATGTCTACATGAACGCAGGAGGTATTCAAGATTTGGCCGCGATCATGGAATGATTACGTTGTTTCCATGACCAATGGAGGCAATAAAAAACTTCTGTGAAAGTTTTTGGATTTTTCCGCGATCACAGCTTTTACTGGGATTAACAAATAAAACATAAATGTTGATGTTGATGTTGAGTGTTAATGGTATGGGGGGGGGGGGGTGCGCCATCCACATGTATTGTGGGGGTGCAACGTTAATTGTAGGTACTAATCTCACTGGGGCTACGCAATAATGTACAACATCTAAAAAAAATTGATTTTATATTCAAACTTTTATAGAAACGAGGTGTTAGCCCGTCCTACGTACGGGAATTCAGTAGTCAGTTAAAACCACAGCATTAAACATATGTTTTAGCAGTCCCATTTAACCAATGTCAAATAATGTTTATTTTTGGGTCAAAAACGTCATTTTGTTGATGTTTATGATCCATACCGGTATTTTTCTAGTAATCTTGGTTAAAACCGTGTACAATTCAGATCGGCTAGTTTACACATATAAAGACAAAGTTTCTTGCAGTTTTATTGTGAAAAATCATCTTGTAAACAAATGTTGTATGACCAAATATGTTTTTATTCCATCATAGGCCTATACGATATGCATTTTAAATCCGATAATTTTACAATAAAACAGCAAATAATTCTGCAATTTTTATGATGTGAAAAGCATTGAAGTGAGATTTGCAGCTGATTCGCACAGACGCACGCTGATTAAAGTAGCCTACAGTAGAGAGAGTAATAGTCAATTGAGAAGTGTATAGACCTAGTCAACGATACCACCTTCCATAGCATACCTGCCTCTTCCATAATTATCACCAAAATACAACTACTATACACAATTTCCAGTAGGTCTGAATGGAAACGACCTAAAATAAAACGATAATATCCAATAAAATTCACAGTACACATAATTTAACTTTGGTGTCCTAACATCAAAACTAATCGTCACACCTATCCTTTATATCAATTTCACTGCATTAATTGCTAAATAAATAAGCGTAAACAAAGAAAAGTAAGAACAATAACAGTTTGTTTTAAAACAGCTGTTTGGTTCAAATAACATTAATTTGAAAAAAAGAACTGGTCACATGTAGCAGGAATATAAAAAGTAAACACGCTAGTAAAGCTAATGACGTAATTGTCAATGTTTATTGTCCATTAAATTATATTATTATATCAAATTATATTATTATCCATACCGTTATCAGTTCTATCCTTGATAATTACCCACCCTCATTGAATAAATGTACATCGTAATTTCCCATATTAGTTAATTTAAACTACAATATATTCATAGTTGAAATAAAAGTGATATTTTCACGTAAGGTAAAACGTAACCACAACTGAACACGATTTCATAAAAGGATGGTTTGTCTAATTGCAGTATCCTAGGTCAATGTTGACGTTGTGTTCAATCTATCTATGTCATCCATCTTTGTATAAAACCTGGCTGAGGTTGTGGTGGTAATTTAAAATCGGGATTCCTGATTATTCTTGATCTTCTTATTTTTATGACATCAATATTTCCGGGCCTAATCCAAACAAAGTTAAAGCAGACAAACATTAGTTGTAAACAAAAAGCTACCATGAAGAATTAAAACATGTAAACATTGTTATTTTTCTAATCTTTCCTTGAAAAGTGTAGCAGTAAAATAATTGAAGAGCGAGCGCTCAGATAAGAAGGACCTAAGCGATAGTGTTCCGGTCTCTTGAGTTTGGCGGAGTTTTAATTTCGCGAAACACGTGCCAGTCACTCGTCTATGACGTGTTTCTTGTGAGATATTGGCGGAGTTTTATTTTCACGTGTTTTCTTTTTAGATTTTTTAACATGGTTAACTGTAATATATGCTTAAAAGTGATAAAAGCGAACATGATTAAGCTACAGTGTTGTGATTGTGAGAGAGAGTTCCACGGCAGCTGTCTGAAGATGAGCAAGGCCGATGTAGACTGTATCACGTCCGAAGGAATGGTTTGGAGGTGTCAACCGTGTGGAGATACAAGAAGGAAGAGTCTACGATTTGAATCTGACGTGCAAGAGGGTAAGCTTTCTCTTGAGGACGTTATGGAAAAAATCATAGAGATAGGTGAGAATCAAAAGTTGATTGAACAAAACGTAAATAAGTCTAATGAACTCTTGAGTGACAAAATTGATGAAAACACTAAATATGTTAAAGAACAGAAGATCTCATTGGATAGATGTTTGAAAACTATTGATACGCTGGTCGCAGAGAATCAACTACTAAATAAAAAAGTTATTGAACTTGAAAAGCGTGTTGATGAAATGGAACAATACTCTAGGCTTAATGCAGTTGAAATACACGGTGTCCCGCAACAGCCTAACGAGGATGTCATAGGAGTTGTGAAGGCAGTAGGCCGAGCCCTGGATATTGAGGTGAAGGAATCTATGATTGACGCTTGTCATCGTTTGGGCAACAAACCGGGGCCGAATAACACTCCACCTGGTATCATCGTCAAGTTTGTGCGGCGACTGGACAAAGAGGAGTTCCTAAGAAAACGACGTGTGAAGAGGAATCTCTCTACAAGACACATGAATATGCCAATGGACCAGGCAGTGTACGTCAACGAAGCTCTGACACCGGCGAGGCGGCGACTTCTAGGGGCGGCGAGGCAAGCGAGGAAAGATAAGAACTTTCGACACCTATGGGTTCGTGGCGGGAAAATATTTCTGCGCAGGGACGACGGATCGACTGTTATTCAGGTGACTTGCCAGGCTGACTTAGAAAAAATTGTTTAAAGTACTCCTTATCACTTCCATTCATAGATATTATTGTTAAATACTTTTGTAATTGACTAAATGCACTTTTTACAGTTCTTTTATGCAAAACTGGTCAATTTGTTATATACAAAATGTATGTAACAATGTCTTATGTCTATGCCTGTAGGATTTTATAAATTTATAATTAGTCTTAGTTTTATTGCTCTATTATTTAAATGTCATATACTTTTAAGAAATAATTTCAAATAGTACAATTTTAATTATTCATCAAAACATTAGGAGTCTCAGGAAAAATTTTGACTTTTTTATTGCGGAATTATCGAGCTACACACATTTCCCAGAGGTAATTGTTTTATCAGAAATTTGGATAAATTCAAATGAAATTAGTCTCTATGAAATATCAAATTATAAAATGTATGCAAAATGTAGTGATGATTATCGTGCTGGAGGAATTGTTGTATATTTAAAAGATTCATTAGTGGATATTAATAATCTTCAATTTGAATCACAAACATCTGATACTGTGCTTGTTTCTTTTAAAGCTTTTGAACAACAATTTTATATTTTAGCTGTTTGTAGATTCAGTTTTATTCCTATTGAATTGTTTAATAATGAATTTAGATTTATTTTAAGCAATAAAGAAACTTTGTTTAGGTCATTCAATAACTTTTTTTTGGTAGGGGATTTAAATATTAATTTACTCGATAATTGCATTAACACTGATACGTATAAAACAATTTTAGCAAGTAATGGTTTTGAGAGTCTAATAAATGAGCCAACACGAATCACAGAACAATCTGAAACATGTATAGATCATGTTTTTGTCAGAGTTAAGGAAAAGATCAAAGTATTGGTAGAAGCAACAGTCGTCCAAGCTGATATCAGCGATCATTGTCTGATAAGAGTCGTGGTCAGCGTTGCGGGGAAGGACAATGGAGGTCCCCCTCCCGCTCCCCCGCAACGGTGGCACACAGACTACTTGAGACTGAGACAGCTGTTAGCTGAAGCCGATTGGACTAGTGTTTATGAAGCAACAGATGCTTCAATTGCGTTTGACAATTTTTTTCATTTGTTACAAGGTTTTATAGAGCGAAGTAAAGAAATAGTAAATTGTAACAAACAAGTTTCCAGTAAAATAAAACCTTGGATGAACGATTTTATATGCTTAAAAATCAAGAAAAGAAATCATATTTTTAAGCTTATGAAGCGCCATCCAAACAATGAGAATCTAAAAAAATATTACAAGAAATATAGAAATACCCTTCATAATGAAATTAAAAAATTGAAAGACGATTTCTACAAAAAAAGTTTTGAAAGCTGTAGTGGTAATTCCAAGAAAACTTGGAAACTATTGAATGAGCTGACTGGTCAGTCCAAGAAAAAAGATGAAGTTCTTAGATTAGAAGTAAATAATATTTTGATTGATGATTCATTAGCAGTGGCAAATGAATTTAATAGGTATTTTTTAGATATTGTTAAAAATCTAAAAATGAATGATCTTAATTTTGTTGGAAATCTTCTTTCCCTTGAATACAAAAACAGTTTTTCCCAATCATTTCAAGTCAAAACAATTTTTATTGGCCCTGTTTTGCCAGCAGATCTTAATACCGTAATAAGAAGCTTAAAAAATAATACATCTCCTGGAATTGATGGCATAAATACAAGTTTAATTAAGGAAATTTTACCAGAAATTGAGAATGTTCTCTTATTTTTAATTAATTTAAGTTTAACAACTGGTGTTTTTCCTTCAAGACTAAAAAATGCAGTAG